AAATGATTGTGAGATTATCTTCCATCCATTTGCAACAGATAAAGGGTTAAAAATGTTGATGTCTGGAATAGAAGAATGTATTTTCAAGACTTGATTATGACTGATTTTTGCTCAACCAAAAAGTTATGTTTAGCATTTCTTGTATAAGCAAATGAATCAAAAACTTCTCTACTTATTTCACTTTTATCAAGTTGTGTTATAATTAACATGCATTTCATTTATTTTATCTATCATACTAATATTTGATTGTATCCTCTTGGGGTTGTTTTTATACAATAGTATGAGAGCTTGTCAACAAGAACTCGCATGTGCACATTTATAATTTTATAACATTTAATGTCTCATTACCCTAATCTCGTTTTCCTGACAAGGTTTAGGTCATGTTACCTGTTCCGGCATACATTTTTCTTCTCGGTCTACCAATGTCCCTTTTCCCCTCTAAAGTTCATAGCTATGAATGGAAGTAGGTTCGTCTGCATTTATGATTATACCATTTAAACTTATTAACTCTAAATTCAGAATTCTGTTTCTTGTTGAGTAGTGAACATCCTAGTGTTTTGCAGAAATTTCATTCAAATTACTCTAATCATTGTATTAAATTGTAAATTGAATGAATTTGCCCTAGTGATTTTTGTAGCTAAAAGTTTTGATGATACCAATTTAATATATATATAATAATTGATCATTATTGGCTGGAGTTTCTAGGTACAAAAAGATGTCATTGTTTTATCATGATGTTCATAGAAAACTAATGTCAATTAAGGGTGCGTTCAAAAAACCTAGTTTGCTTTGAGGGGAATTCCTACTACCCTGATAAAAGCAAGAGCTAATGAAAAACACATGTTCCCTCATAAATGTGTTCAAAATAATTACTATTAATTTTTGCTATAATAATAATGATAATAATAATACAAATACTAATTAATATTATAATAATTACAATAATTATTATTAATATAGTAATAATTATGTTTATTATTTTATCATCAGTACTATTTTTATTTTTTATTTCAATTTAGAATTAAATCTCTTTTATTATACATTGAGAATTTCAGTTACTTCAAACTTCTATTTTCTGCAGTATGTTTACTTTCTTGCATACTACATGGTTTAGAGGAAGTTTTGTAAAGCTGCTGCAAAAAATGGTTTTTTCATGGCAAAGAAAATTTATTGGAGGTCCCTGATTCTGAAAAAGTGGATAATTTTTGTTCCTCTATGTAGTAAATTTCTTTCTCAAACATTCTATAGTTAGAATCTGTGTTTTGTGGGTTCTTGACACCAAAAAATTAGTTAACGGTACATGTTTGCCCGTCCATCTCTGTAAGTGAAAAAGTGTAGCTGGTAAACTGTGTACGGAGTTTCCACTAAAACTGATGTTCTCCAATTGATCTTGCTGATGTTGCAGCCCCTTGAATTTGAACTGGATATTTTAATTTTAGGATGTTCTTGACTGAAGTTTCCAGGACATTTTCAGTTGTTTTTTTCTCAAAAATCGCTCCAAATGCTTGGTTTAAATTTTTATACTGGATAGCACAAAGTACGTTTAAAACATTGCTGCAGGTCTGATTTTCATTGAAATTTCTGAATTTCCGAAAATTGTAAAAGTTTCAAATTCAGCATTTTCCTACAACTGCAATATTGAAGGTTGTGATTTTTCTTCAGGATAAAATCTGATCTCTAAATAAGGTGATATACAATTTTTTCCAAATATTGTATCAGCCCAATTTTGTACAAAATGAAAGCAAATTTTAAAACGATATTGTATCAAAAACTTCTGCAATTTTCTTCCTTGAACTTTTTTATGACAATGCTAAATGCACTGAATTTTATGTCATAAACATCAATTTGATGTATTCTTTTGATTTTCCAAAACTTACACTAATGCAATTTTTTTAAAATATCACTTGTGTTGTTAATATTTACAGTAAGGATATATTTTATATATTATTGCATTTATAAGCACAAGTGATTCAAATGATTATTTATGAAGCTTTTCAAAATTTTAAAAAACTTTTCTGTAAAAAAGCTCAAAATAGTAACATTTCAAAAATACTCAAACAGTTTCTCATGAACTGCTTCCAAATTTTTCACTGAAAATTTGCACATAGGGCCTTATATTACTCTTGTTTAAATTGCTTAGAGTCATATTACAATTCTACTATTAGAGGACTGAAAAAATAGAAAAAATATGTGAAAAAATACTGTTTAGTCGTTGATAGGAAGCAGCTCAGAAGAAGGCCTAGACTCAAGAAATTAAAAGCACTAAATAGAACAAAAAGAACTGCTATTCTGTTGTTAGTTATATCATACCAATTTTAAAATAATAATGAATGTTCAATGAAAAAAAAAAATTTTCTATTAATTTGAATATTTATATTAACACATGAATTACATTTCTTTCCTATTTTTAATTCAGTTATTTTTACATAGCTTAGAAATGATTGGAGTGGAATTGTTATCTTAAAGTGTGATTGTGTCCACATTTTGCAAACATGTTTTTCAAATGCTACTCAATGGATGTAAAAAAAAATATATATGGTGCCATTAATTTGTCATATTATGGTATAGGAATCAAGAGTTTCCCAGCTTCAGATTGAAGCATCCCAACATCAAACAGAACAATTAGCTCGATTGCAGAGAGAACTCAGTACAGCACAAGAGCAACTGCAGTTGCATGTACAGACAGTGGGGATATTGGTGGGAGAAAAAGCTGAGCTTGAAGCGGCTTTGAGCAAAAGCCAACAAACTGCTAAGCAGAAAGCAGGTGAGTTTTGGAACTATACATGAAAGAGAGACCTTATTGGTGAAGCAATTTGCTGTAACCTTAGGACTAGTGGTTGAATTTTTGTTTAAAATGGCTGATGCTCATCTTGTCATCACAAGATAATAAATCTTGTTTGTGAATCTCCAAAGATATCTTTGAATTCTTTTGATGGATAATGTTTCCTTTATCGTTTCGTATTAATAAAAAAGCAGTTTCTCTTCAAATTTTAGACTCAGATTTATTTATACTTAATTGTGATACAACCTCAATAGTTTATATTTGTAGTGTAACTTGAAGTAATTATCTTTGTTATCCTCTGTTGTGAAGAGCTTATGTTTTGACTGTGGTAATAATTCATTATTGAAAAATATGCATGCAATTATGTATAATTATAAATAAATCTGAATGTCTAAAATTTGAAGAGGAACTGTTTTTTTATTTAATAACACAGACATTCATCACAAAAGAAGAAAAAACTTGTTTCTGTAAAAAAAGGAGTACACTAATGAAAAAAACTATACTTTGTAAAATTGGAATTTACATATTTGTATTCATTGCTTCATTAATTTCCTTGCAATGATGATAGATTTTGAAATTGCTAATTTCCTAAGGAACAAAGTGTGAGACAAGTGTAGGTGTATGCATGTGTGGGTGTGTGAAAGGACTATATTTCATTTTGTTTTATTGTAATAACAACTCATGAACAGATGCATGTGTGTGTGAAAGTACTATGTTTTATTGTAATATGTCAATTTGGTCAAGGAAATTAATAATTGCATTTCCTTATAGAAGTAGGTGTTTCTTTGCAATGTGTGTGTGTGTGTGTTCTACCAAGCCCATCAGTATTTGGCGATGACTGGGGACTGGATTCTTTGGTTTTAACCTATTTTGTTTCTAATTTCTTTTAAATACATGTATTCATTTGTATATGTGAGCCATACGTGTATCCTGTAGATCAGGGGTTTTGAGCGATGTGTGTTTTTAACCCCTTGGGGATTGAGGAAATTTTAAAGTGTGTCAGTGAAGATTAAGGGTTCAACCATGAGTCAGTTGCCAAATATGTACTGGCAACTGAATGGTAAAACCAAGATCAAAATCCTGATGGTTACAAAAAATCTGTACAAATCTGCAAACATTAATTACAAATTTGCTCTTCTCTCATGTTTATCATTTGTCTGATGTTCAGAAAATTCAAGAGATTATAATTCTGTTCACAACATTTCTCTGTCACACAAAAAAATATTACTTATTTATGAAAATATTGGTATGCGAAATCATCTTTTAGGCATTAACATTGGGCATTTAGGCATAAAAAGACATTGAAAAATGATTCTGAAATTTAATGTGCTTTTTTCAGAACAATTTTTTTCAAGTTCAGATGTAGAAACATTGAAGAGAATGATTTAGTAATTCCAATTTTCTTTATTGCAATTATTGTTGAGGCTTATTTTAACATGATTTGGAAAAAAAATGTGGAAACCTAAAATGGGCTAAATTGACTTTCCAAAATGCGTCAAATAATGTAAATAAAATTCAAAAATTGTGGTCCTAATGATGACTATAAATTCAAATTCAAAATTATTATATTTCATGATAAATTGAAATTTACTATGATTATGGTTGCTTTGGAGGCGTATTTTAGCCATGTATGCATGTGTATGTATGTGTGTGTGTGTGTATATATAAATTATTATATTAATATTATTAATATTATAGCCAAGTAATATATATATATATATATATATATATATATATATATATATATATATAATATAAGTATATGTATAAAATTTTAACATAATTGTAAATTTTTCCATCTTAGCTGACGTGGAAGAGTTGCAAGGACGACTGAAAGCCTCTCGCCATAAAGTCAGTGACTTGGAGAGGGAACTTGGATCTGCCACAACTGCAAGCAAACAGTTGGAAAGTTCTGTGCAGCAACAGAATAAGGAATTAACTCGTTTGAAATTGGAGAAGGAAATGGCATCAAAGCAATTAGAAGAAATTGAAGAAGAAGCAGCAGAACTTCGACAGAATTTGGATGTGCGCACCAATGAAGCGCAAACACTTCAACACGAATTACGTGAAAAACAGTCTCAGTTGGACTTGGCACAGCTGAAGATCCAACAGGTAAAGTTTTCTGAATATCTTCTCTTTCTTTATTTTCTTTTTAGGTCGTGCAGTAAATCAGAATTTAATTGTAAAATTACTAGTCTGTTTGCAGTTTCAAAATCAGTTTTTGTGATGTATGTAGCCAATGAGCTTACTCCATTCTCACAATTAACTTGGGGTCGTTTTTAATCCTTATATATTGCATGTTTATTTAATTTGCAGGGATATATAAAAACAGTTTTTTAGAATATATTATTTTCAGAATGATTTGCTCATAAAATATTTACTTCTGTTATGTTAAGGTCAATGGGCTTCTTAGAATTAATGGTATCTTGTGTGTAGATAAAAGGTGAAAACAATCAACTGAACAGTTTGTTGTTATTTTTATTCTAGCTTAGTTTATCAGACATGACTGAAATGGAAAAGCAGCTAGAGTCCTTGCACCAGCAAAAAGTTGGATTGGAGAGGCAGTTGGCAGAACTACAACAAACGGTACAGGCATTAGGATCGGAGAGGGACCAAGCAAACTCTCAATACCAAGAATACTTGCATCATGTTAATGGCCAGATGAAGAGCATGGCTGACAAAGTGTGTATCTTTTCTTCTCTTCCTGGAATTACATTATGATGTTCTTATTTGATGTCTTTGATCTATCTTTAATTTATCTGTACTGAAAATATATTGTCACATTGTGCAAATATTTGATCCCATTGGGATCTGAGCCTGAACCCCGAATTTTACAATCTCATAATGATCAACAATCTTATAAGAGTATAATTGACATGTAGGGTGAAGATGAAACAATACAATTGCCATGAAGGGTAGAAAGTGAGTCATTCCATTTCGTTTCACCTTTACCTTTCACTCCAATTGCACTGTCAATTTATCTCTATTTCTTTTATCCTTGATTCTGTAAGAGAGTGAACAAGTTACTGTTTTTTTTTTCTTTCTTCTTGAAATATTGTGAACTAATTATTTATAAAATCCGGTTACCAAAAAATTTTTTGAATAAATTGAACATGTTGGTTAGTTATCTGTTTATAATAAGTTTTGAGCTATTGTGCAATTAACTCGTGGGAAATGTCATTGATGATTAGTGTTGATTGATTAATGGTAAGGTGTGTGAAAGCGATCTGACATTTGGAATTTCTTTGAAAAATGTTTATAATTCAACCTTTATTTTCAGCTTGCTTCTGCTACAGCTGAAAATGAACAGCTTTCAAATAGAGAACAGAGCTTGGTTAAACACCTTTCGGAATTGGAAAAGCAGTTGCAACTACTGCAGCAACAAAATCAGCGGAACCGAGGAAAGGATTCACCATCTCATGTTGCTAGCACTGAGTTAATTCAGCGTTTAGAGCAAAATATTCACACATTGGAGGAAGAAAAAGAGAAATTGACTCTCAGTATGGACAGTCAGGTACTATTTTTGATCATTTTATATTTTAATTTAGAGTTAAGGCGTTAGGAGTACATGATTTGTTTAATTGATGACAAATTTTTATTAAGTTTTGAGGATATTCAAACCTTTCTTGTGGTAAAAGAAACAAAGTGGTAATTTAAATTTTAAGAATAATTCAGATGAAAACAATTTAAAAATTTAAAGAAAGTTGAGAATGGGGAGATATGGCACTCATTGTATTGAAACATGGTAGAACAAATAGTTTTCCATTCCGGTACAAGACTATTTCTAATATAACTAAAATAACTATAACTAACTGATTAGTGATTTATTTCATGCCTAATTTTTTATCTATTGTCATGAGAGAAGTGAAGTTCAGAAGTAGAGTTACAATAAAACATTATGTCATTTCGAAATCATTTAAATTTTTACTGTCACTTTTTTAATGTCTAATTGAAATGTACAAAACAAGATTGTTTTAAAAAAAGCACTATTGCCACAAATATACTTAAAAATCTAAAATTAAATTAAATAAAGCTACTATTAAAATAACATTTTGAAGGCTTAGCGAATGTGGCTATCTCCAAAAATTTAAGTATTTACTTATTTCTTTGTAGTACAGGAGTTATCAAACTCCTAGATCCTACAATTTCCCATTTCTAAGATCAGCGTTCATGTGAATCTCTTTAAGATACTGAATTCCACAATACAGTTGTGAATCGCTTTCCCTATTTTTAGCCAGTTGTTCCTTCTGTGGTCTGTGGGCATCCTCACTTTGGCTGAGATTTCACTTCTAATGGAACCACTGAGCATGTATCTCTGAAAAGTATGGTTCAATGTAATGGAAGTAGTACAATGTGTTGACTTTAACACGGAAGTAATATTTCTTTGAATCAATATTGGATCTTGTTCCCGAGTCAGTGTTGATGAAGATGTATTAGGCATGTTTTTCTGACCAAATCATATTTTGTTGCTGAGGCAATGATGAATAGTTTTAGGTACATGCATATTTGTATGATTCATGTTAATATATGTATTTGTTATATCAGTTTACTGAAATTGAATCAACATGAGAAAAACAAAAATCTTACTAAATCTATCTATAAAAATTCATTTTGTCATCAAATATAATACCCAAGTTTATGCTGTGTTGTTTTGAATTTGAGTTACTTTATAATTTTCATAATTATGGAAGACCTGTTGATCGTTATGGATTTGTCTCTGTCTGTTAGATTCAGGAAAACAAAGTTGTGCAAGATCAACTGGATATGTATATGAGTAGAGTTGAAGAACTTGAAAGTATGGTAGAAAGTTTGAAAGCAGATCAGCCAGACACTCGCAAACTGTTGGCAGCAATGGAGAGTGACAAGGTGGCTGCATCTCGTGCTGTGGGGCAGAATCAGAAGCTGAAAGAACAGTTACTGGAATTGGAGGAGGGCTTTATTCAAGTGGTATGATTGACTTATTCTCTAGCGCATCTAGAGCAAAGATCTCTAAAATAATTCTTATGTAGTAAAGGGAAAAGAAATTGGTATTTCGTAGTTCTAAATTTTAATTCTATGAGATTCTATCAGTTTTAAAATTTCCAATTTCTTTTAGCAATTTCCTTATTTATTATTTACTGGCCTGGATTCAGGGCATTAATTGATGCCACTGCAATATCTGTGACTAGGAGGTCCTAGCAAAGATCCTAGTACGGTCTTGATCAGTGGCTACTGGTACCTTTCATTTACCAGAAGGCTGCCTGCAGCATGCGAAAATAGGAAATGAATCAAGATATATTCAGTACCGATGTAGGTCTATCACGAGCATTTATATCGCACTTCTCAAAGAGATAAGCTTCTAAATTTCAGTTTTTAAACATTGACGAGAATTACTATTCAAATCCATTCTAAAAACGAACTAGTGGTGCTATAACAGCTTGTACTTTCTCGCCCATACTTTCTCACAAAATTACACGAAATGCACTCAAATTTTTGAAAAATTGAAAATGACCTTATTTCAAAATATATCTTTATGGAACAGATATCAAAAAGGAAAAAATCTCAATCAACAATATTTTAGTTTTAGGAGGACTCCGAAAAAATTTTGAAATTTTAGCAATTTTTAAAAATGAAGCTTTTTATTGAAAAAGAGGCCAGCACCATTCTCTTAAACACTCTTCACACTATCCAATAATGACATTTAATCAAAAATAATGGGGCCATTTTCTTTTGAAAATTTTCCAGGGGCTTCATGTGAAGTACCCCCAGAAATTAGAATATCGGTTTCAAATTCAAGGAGTCATGGCATCAAGCAGATCAATTGGGGAATATCAATTTTGTGAAAAATCAGCTGAATGGTTCAGTTGTTATCAGACAGAAAGGTTTTGCCGTCATTGGATTTTTCTGTTTCAAGGACCTACATACCAAGATTCTGGCTTCAACACGGGTTAGAGGATTTGTATTTCTAAATTTAGCAACCAAATTTATCCTTTTTTTCTTTACGAGGACCCTGTAATATGAGTTTCTCTGCTGAAAATTTGCTGTTAATTCACACAGCATGACATAAATTTCTCTCTACTCCATAGTGAGAAAGAAAAATAACAACAAAAAAATACAATATACAGCACCTCAACTATATCGTACTTCCACCAGAGCTTTAAAAATTGTGTAAACGTCGTGCAAAACTGAGGATGGGAATGCCAGGGGTGCCTTTCCTGAGTCCCAATATTGAGACACACAAACAGCAGGGGAAGCGAAACAACTATGCCCATACGTCGCTGCAAGCAGCAGGTACTGGCAGTCCCAGGGAGGGAAACGGGATCAGAGCAGAACACGGCGGGAGCTTTTCCCAAGTTTCACACGCACCAGCAAATGGGTTACATTGGTCATTTAAAAGAGGAAAATACTATTTTGCATATTTTCTTTTAATATCAAAGAAATTAAATAATTCTGACTAGGACTGGGATGCTGTACCTCTGCAGTCCATCACCACCAGCCATCACTGGTCTTGATGGTGGCAGAATTATCAGCAATGGCTACATAGCTAGGTTGAATTCGCCCACTGTGTGGAGGAGAATTTCAGAGGCTGACTGCTTTGATCAGTACTTTTCCTTACCTTCCCTTCCTTGTCTTGTCCTCACCCCTTACATACACACACTTACACCAACATGCACTATGCTTCCACATGTGTCAGAAGACTAGTCAGGAGCCTAGAGCGTATCCCCGCTTGGGTGGTGTCCCGCTGGTGAGGGATACCTGATTAGGGAAAGCACTGCAAACTGTGTAGATCAGCTCTGGATCGCCATCGAGCAAGGAAAGATTGCAGCTCCCTCCTGAGATAAATACATGCACTAAATTTTTAGGGGTCTAATGACCTTAGCAGTTGACAAGCACAGAAACATTAATCAATTAATTATTCATTAATTTTTGGTTATTTTTCATTTGTAATATCTAAATGTGTGGAAGAAAAGCTAATTTATCACATATGCAAAATTAGGCCAATGGTATATTGAAAATTAGTATGCATTCTTTATTTCTAGTAATAATCCAAGTTTATTTGATGATAATACTAAAGGAATTCAATTTTCTTCATACAGAGCAATCAGAAAGTCGATTTAACACAAGAATTGCAAAAGGAGCAACATCTAAGCAAAGAACTAGGGGAAAGATTAGCACAACAGGAGCTTGAAATAAGCGAACTGCGGTAAGAGAAGTTTTATCATAATTGTTCAACTTAATCACTCTTTGTCAAAGATGATGACATTGTTTGTGGTATTTCCAAGGTTTTCGATCTTTCATATTTAAAAATTTCTTTCATTAAATGTCCTCAGAAGGGATATTTTCTTATTTTTGAGTTAATGTATTTTGTAGTTTTCTTCTTCAACTTCAGCATTTTCAACTACTTTAATACTACCTTTGCAATGTTTTACAGAACTCAGCTAGCAGAAAATGAAAAGATGCTTCAGTCATTACAGAAGTCTACGTCTGAGCAGTTATCGCGGCAAATGCTTAAGGAAGATCAAATAGCAGACCAAATGCGGCATTATGAGGCTCAAGGTCATATGACTGAAACTCTCCAACGTGAACTTCATCAGAGCAAAGTGAGTGAATAAGTAATATGATGAACAAAAGGTGTGAACATGTGGTGAAAAGTGACTTTAAGTGATAAAAGGAAAATTCAGGAGTGAGTTTTTTGGTCAGAATTCAATCTTATACTTACACCCTCACGAATTAATTATTACAACTTTGCTGCTCTCAGCTAGCCTACCAACTATGTGAGGTTATGCAAGAATTTTATATCTTACATGAGCAGTAATATCCCTTTTATATAGAGTAGGGTTGGAATCATTTGCATTCCGGTGGCACCAATCTACGGAGTAGGGAAGTGGGACAAGGAGCAGGCTCGCCATTTCCAACCAGTGCAGCTGATCTTTGTACTGGCGTGCTTGCTTGGCAATTGTGTGGAATGCCGAGGCCTGATAAAAGAGCTTTGTATTTTAAATAAATTACTGGTTCTACTCTTTTTGGAACACAAACGGCATAATATGTAACAAATTCCAAGTTATTACTGTTATTTTGTGTTTGGAAGCACTTGTTTTCATTGTGAATATAATATCAACTTTTAAATCCTCTACAAAACTATTTAACTTTTGTGCACACATTCAGGCTAAAAATTAATAGATTCAGATTGGTCCAAATATTACGATTTAAAACTTATTTCTTGTAATACATTTTGATGTTTTGAAAAGTTCTTAGTGAATGTTTTGAAGATTCCACTCTATCAACTTCATCGATGTCCACATGTTATATGTCACAGAGCAGCAGCTAGCACCTCATCTTGTTAATTTCACTCTTCATTCTATCTACTGTTCATTTGAAATACTAAATAACCTCTTGATTGTGCCTTTAAGAATTAAAACAAACATTTTAGTGCGCCAAATCCATCTGTTTTTGCGGCTACTTTTAATATTTCGATTTACCATCTCCCCTTTCATCCTAGTTTTCCAAAACAAAACAACTCTGTGCTTTGGTGATGCTATTAGTTCATTCTCTCATGACCTTAATTAACCTTTACTTGTCTTCACCACTGCTCCTTATGCTGCCCAGATCCCACCTTAATCAGTTCCTTTCTTACTCATTCTCACATTCTTACTCATTCTATTTCTTTTTTCAGTTTTGAAATATCCGAATTTCAGAGTACTTTGTCAATGGGTTTTTTTGTGGACTTTTAGAGAGTGACTCAGAAAAGCTAAGAAGTTGGAATTGTGTAGGAGCAAATAGTAAATAAGGTGGCAGTGTTCTGGATTATGGTTGAAATAGAAACAATGTGTGTTACTTATCTTTTATCTAGCAGATCCTATTAATAAAACTCGAGCTTGTGGAATATATTTCCAAGAAGTGTGCAGTATGCACTTGCACAAAGATTGTCAAACATGTCCAATAGCCCTTAGTTTTGTTGTGCTTTCCTTCTCTCTGGATAGAAAATAGATTGTTTCAAAGACAAAATGTGGTTCCAAATTGTAGTAATTTGTTTGGTTCTAAGTTTGTCTTCCTTAAATGACTTCGGGGCAAACTACATCTTAAAAATTTGCTCACTGTGCTATCCAAATACTAATTCTTGAAAATATTTTGTAAATTCATTTTACTAATCCATTATTTCTTAATTACTAAATTTCAGGAGACCTAATAAAAAAATAATGTTTAATTAGTCTTGTGAAATAAATGATATATTACTACTACTCCTTTTTGAGTCAGAATTTTCAGAAGTAATTTATATTTTCCTAACATGCTTTACTGTAATTGTAATTCATATGTTGGGGACTTGTTTTAATTTTCTGCGATATTGCTTACATATTGCTTTGTTTGATTGAAATAAAAGAGACTGTTAATTAACAGTGTCATATGAAGGGGGGGGGGCACAATGACAGATCTCATTATAGTGATTTTACAAAATGTTTATTTAGGTAAGGAGTTAGGACTTAGTGTTATGACTTTTATTACTTGAATCTTTCTTTACCCTTGGTAACGGTTTTGTCTTTCAACGCTAATCAAATGTTTATCAAAAACTTCAAAACCTGTGCAATTTGTAATAACTTTGTGGAAACTCTGGTGTTATAAACCTAAGGATGCTCGAAATCACTTTAAAATATTCATTATCTTATCTATGAATGCAGAGAACAGTTGTAGAATTGTAGAAATATGATGAATCTTGAATTAGTTCTTCTAACAAAGACATCATCATCTGTGACCATGTGGAAAGGACAGCAACTATGCTTTCATAATGCAGCAATATGTTTAAAATAAATATGTTCTGCCGTATCTCTACAAATAAAAAATACTTTGTCACAAACATACTGAAAATTATAGTAATATATTGCAAAATACATTTACCATGAGTTCTTAAATATTAAAAAAGTTCTTTAATTCCATTGCCATTTATACTGGGGTCAGTCATTGCTCCCCTCCATCCCTCTCCCATTAGTTTTCTCAAGGTACTGGTATGGCATTGTTAAGCAGACCTTTTTAATATTCATTGTTATGTAGGTAAGCTATGCTATGAGAAGTGGCTTCTTATGCATGTTTAATCTCCAACAGGAAGTGTGTCGAACTTTACGTGCTGAGAATGATGAGCTGCGCATGAAGTTGGCTCGAGCAACTGTCCCTGATGTGTCAGAGGCTACCGAAGACCAGAGGGATGATCTTGTTGAGAGTCTAAAAGCTAGTGTTCGTCAGCTTACAATGGAGAGAGATCAGCTTCTTTCTCAGTTGCAAGAGAAGCCACCACGTGAAAGCGTGGGGACTGATGCCCCTGATGATAGTTTCTCAAATTCAGATATTGATGTCAAAGAATATTGTAATTTGAAAGAATCTATGGAAAAGTTGCAGACAAGGTTTTCCAAAACAATGGAAGAAGTTGCTGAGCTGTCAGATGAGAAACAACGTCTAGAACATCTTGTCTTGCAGCTTCAAGGAGAAACAGAAACAATTGGTAAGTGGCATTCTTCATTGTATTCAAGTTTGTTCAATACTGTGCTTCTTAAAAACACTATAATTTTAATATTTTAATCTATGAAAGAGCCATGTTTAAATGTTATGGTAGAGATGGAAAGTTGTGGTGGAGATGGTAAGTTGTGCTAGAGTTGGCGCAGTAACAGGATAAGCCCCATCTGCCATAGGAAGTCTCCTGCTAGTAGTCAATTTTAATATCCTAATTTTGGTATAAATGTTTTTTGTTGTGTGGCTGCTCCAAGCCCTTCATTGTATAAACAACACACTTATACTGAGTCTCCAGGCTTACTCCAAAAGACAGCCAAATGCACCAGCTAATGACAAACAAGAATATTTAAAATGTTTGTGTAAAAGCTAAAACATATCTCACAAAATAAATGTTTCCTTCCATGAAAGAGTGTAACACATTTTTTGCCTTGTATCACATTGTGCTCAGTTGCAATTAGAAACTTATCATAGGTGGAGGTGTGATTCACGCTAATGACTGTGTATTCTGCTTCCTACGCTGGTGCATGGCCTCTGCTCTTGTCATTGAGGTCACTGAACATTTGTCATTGCAGACCATTGCATGCATGCGTGTGTGTGTGTAAGCCTTATACTATTTGTTTTTATATTTAGCCATTATATGTCCTGTAAAGAGCATTTGGGCTCTGTGCCATTAGATTCCAGGGTTCCTAGTCTCTCACCCATCCAGGAACCCACGATGTCTTGAATTTGCTTAACCTTCATGACTTCATGTAGTCAATGAATTCAGCTAGCGATGCTGGTTTTATGGTTGTGGCCTTTCAGTAGAATTACCCTAGCATTTGTCTGGATGGCTGAGAGAAAACATGAAAATCCCGGTCAGGATTGCCAGTGTGGTGATTGAACCCGATTCTCTTGAATGTGATGCCTGTGTGCTATGCCCTGAGTCACTTCGCTTGGTCCTTATTCTACACGAGATAGCAAAAATCATGTTACTTGTAATCCAGCCTGTCGAATATTACATTATTACATGATGTTGATTGTGGGCATCACAACTCATGATTTCCATTTGATGCTAGTAAGTCTGGACACTGTAATAGGAAGATAAGCCATTTGCGAGCAACTGGCACATTCTTCCTATGGTGACTGTGGCAAATCTTGCTACTGTGTCAAGCCCTTAAGCTGTATTTATTCTACCTTAAAGTCACATCTGTGTGACAAATATAATACCTATCCCCTCTAAATACTTCCTGCTCTTTCTCCCTTCTACTCTACATACATATATGCTAGTCTACATTCCAACTGAAATGGGACTTTACTCTTATGCCTGATTGATTACCGTAGGTGGGTGGGGCTGCTTGGAGTTCGGTGAGCTTGGAGGGCCTGAGACTGGCACAAGAGCCAAACTACCAGGTGTTAGGATTTATTTTGAAGGTTCGAGAATGTTCTAAAGGCTCATATACCCACATGTAGATTTAGATTTGGATTTATTTAGTCAAAAAAACCAGTAAAGACTGTATGTGACGTATGGGGGAGAAGATCAACTGCGCACATTCCATTTGAATAAAGAAAAATCAGCCTGGATGTGATTAGAATGTTAACTTGGCAAGATTAGGAGAGGGAAAGTTTCTATGTTGAATCATTAACTCTCAAGTCTTGGTGCACGTTTTGATTTCCTTACATAATTTCAAATGTTACACTAATAGTATAGTGGGTACTATATACACCATAGATTTTTAAAATCAATGGTACAATAGTTTAAAAAAATATTTATTTCATGGATAATTTGTCCAGTTTTATTACAAAAAAAAAATTACTTACAACATCTGATAATTTCACAATTCATTAGTAAAACTAACACAACTATTAAAAAAAACAACTTGCAGACAACATACTTTGGAGCACCTTCCCAAAGCCCATGAGCCATGAAGGTGGCTAACTTTACAGTACTGTTTGTAAAGGTTATCTAAAATGGTAATAATAATAATGATTGAATTGCTAGCTATGTACGTGTAATAGTTCAGTTAATGTGCAAAAAACTCATCAAACTGATTGAAATAGCTCACCATGTGTATTATCTAGTACCTTCAAAAACCCACTTGATAAGTAAATCACCCTTTTGATGCATATGTGGCCAAAAAAGTAGAACACTTGTCTATTTATCTTAACGACTTTCAACATCAACACCAACACCAACTATAGCAACAATGTTTTGAGGTTTCTTTAGCTTTAAAAACTTTCAACCTTGCAGTTGTTAATGATAAATTTTCTCAAAAGTAAATAATTTGTGAGGAAAGTATAATTTAAGTATATTGCCTCATTTAAGACATTGGGGTAGTTTTCTTTCCTGTAATATTTGTACCAAGGAAATTGTTTTGTACCAGAAAACACCAACATTTTCTCAATTGTTTGGTCTGAATAGTTTAATTGAAATGAGTTTTAGAAAATATCATAGAAAAGCATAGCAGAATTTTGTATGGACATTTTCAGAGAAAAAATTGGATCTGTTTTTGAGAAAATGTTAGTGTATAATTTCTAAAAATGCAGTTTTCTGAGCTCATTAACACTAAAAAACTGTTGAGATTTTGAGAAAATTCATTAGAGATCATTTAAAACATTTGTGATCACAAAAGTGTTAATTTATAAAATATGCCTGTAATATAAAAATTATCTGCATGAGAGGCATTTAAAAAAAAATACGTTAGCGTAATTTTTGCTCCGACAGCAAGCGTATAGGTGATTTTAGCTCTCATGACAACACTCACATAATGTTCACCTACTTTTCTACAGTTGATGCAGGCTATTTGTAACTTTGAATATAAGGATTCAGATAGTTTCAGTGTAATACTTGTGAAAGAATTTGGAGGATAATTTTCGATGCCATTTTCAGATCCTTTTTATGTGTGCATTCATAATTGCAATGCAAAGCCAGTTGCTTTATATGACCTTAATGTTCAGATTCTTCTACAAATGTATTAAAGTGACTATTTGATTGTGCAATTGCATTTTTTTGACTTGTTTCCATAAAAGTAAAACTTTTGTCATGCAGGAGAATACATAGCCTTATATCAAATGCAAAGAAGCATTCTGCGCCAGCGAGCACAAGAAAAGGACGAACAATTGGCTCGCTTGGCACGAGACAGGGAAGAAGTGAAAATCAAATTGAATGAACTCAATCGCCTTATTGGTCAGTTGGTAGCTGAGAATGGTAAAGGTCCAACAAGTGTTTCAGTTTCTACTTCAACACCAGAATTAAATAGTGTATCTGGTGAACCTGCTTCTGAAGGTGAGATTATTCGTGTTTATCTTCTTTAGTGTTACAAGGATCTCTCATCAATGTTTCTCTCTCACATCAGTTGATGGAACAATCAAATGACAATTTTTTTTTTTAACTCTTTACTCTTCCTTTTTCTTTCTGATAGCATTTTCTTTCCTGCTTTTGAACTTTTTAACTGCAATTTTAATTTGCTAAATTTTATTTGATGTGTGTGGGATTGGGCATATGCTATTTACCGTTGCTTGTAAAATCAAAATAAATTTTTTTATATTCTTTAATAATTTGGCTTATGTACTGGTTCCTATCTCTGAAAGTGATTGCGATTGTGGAAGTGAGAGTTGTTGTGGTGAGAGTGGATGTAAATGTATGTATGCATGTGTGTGTATGTGTCTGTGCATGTCTGGATGAGGGGAAGCAGAAGATTGTTTGCTTGCTACTAATCAGCGTTTCTCTGTTTTCGTGGTTGTATTTAATCTTTTGAACTTCAAACTGTACTTCATCTCTTAAAAAACAAGTTTCTTAACTTACTGCTCTGTTGATACTTCTATGATTTTTTGCTGAAGGTACTCGTCTACCTCAAAATAACATTTTACCATGAAAAATTTGAATTTTTGTTTTCAATTGTTTATTTTGCTTCAAGATGTGTACTTTTCAATGCTGAAGACTAATTATTTATAAGTTTGTTCATTTTTGATTCATTTGTACTTTTCCAAATACATGCACATATATCAAGTCCTTATGTTGTCACATTGAAAGCAGAATATCCATTTTGGACAAATTCTTTCTTGTTGGTATGGATTTAGTGTAACAGACCACTTTTGATGCTAATGAACTCATCTGGCTTTTCCTTAAAGTTACTTTTTTTTCTTGTATGACCTGACTTGAAACATCATAACTCTTCTAATTTTCAAGATATCTTTATGATTCTTTTTTTATTTAATAGCAGAAAGTCAATTCTTGTTCTTAAACCTCAAATTGTTATAGAAAATGCATAATGTCATTAATAAATTGCTCTGTTAATGGATATTGTAGCCACTGACTTTTAAAAGTGCTAATTTGAATCCCTGTAAAGTACATACAAGTTCCTTATCAATCTTCAAATTTAGGTTCAGCACTACAAAAGTATTATACAATACAAACAATCCGTAATAAAGTCATCGAAACAATTTATAGTTACAGTATGTAAATGGAGTTTTATTATGAAGCAGCAGGCACCTGCATCTGAGCAATATTGAAACAAGAATTTGGCTATTCTAATACGCTCCTGCAAAAACATCCTCATAAATTATTGCTCTTCTTCTCGGCAAAATTGAAACATGTACTCTTTGTTTACCACGGAATATTGAAAGCGTTTTCACCATGCCATGGTGTTCTGGAAAGACTCATTTCAGTGTAGCCTTTATAAAATCCCTTCATGCAACAAAACCAATAAAACTTTGTGTTATATAAACTGAGTGGGCATGTGTATGGCATTGTTCTTGGGACGAGTGACATTATTGAGAAATATTCTTTATCATACATCAAGGTCAATGGACTCCTAATATTCAGACATAGATTTATGTGTTATAAGTCTTTATGAGTGTAATATTCTTATTTACCATCTACTTTGTAATCTATTACTGTATCGTAGGATATTCTTATCATTCAGCAACTTGTACATGTCATTAAATAATTAATAAAGATGATTACGAAGAAGGTAAAAGCCTACTTGAGAGACAGATAAGTCATATACTTCTTTGTGTGGCTGTTAATCTTAACTAATCAATTGTTAATTTTAAATCTATCGATGCTCACATATAAAATATTTTTCATAGAGAATTACTCGGATAACTCATTTTCAGTCACTTATTTCAATTTAATCTTTATTCACTCCTTGCTCCAAGAAATTTTTTCTCGTTTTTATGAGATCTTTGAATCATCATTAGTCTACATCTAGTTTTATTCATTTAAAAATTTCTTAACTTCTTATCGCATTTGCAACTTGCTATTATGCAATAAAAACAGTTTCAACTCAGTATTCACGATTAACTGTTAAAATTAACATTTTAAATATTCGTACTTTAACCTTGGCAGTAGGCATTGCCATATGTTTAACAAGCAATGGTAGTTGGTATGACTAATTTTACATATAGTCTCAGATTGGATGAAGAACAATGTACTATCTAGATGAGAATAAAATGAATCTTTCATTAGATCAAAGCTGATTAAGTTTGAAAATATATGCAGAATTAATAACAAGACCGGTATTTGTAATGAAATGTATTAAGAAGTATTTCAAGTTTTATGACAAGCCAATATTCAGGGATGTTTTTGAACCAAAAGATGTTAACAATTAATGCGACAAAAAGAAAGAGAAAATCAGCAGTACAAGTTAACACTATAATTCACTGCGTTTTAAATAAACGCATTGTCTTGCCTCGCTAGATATTGAGCAAGAATGGAATACTGGTGGTTGCCTCCAGTGTGGGTGCCTGCGATTATGATAATTCAAATAACAACCCCACTGCTCCAATAGAAATTAAAGAATAATTTAAAAGAACTGTTCACAGGAAGATTGTAATTCCTAAGATGTTATAAAGAAAGAAAAATAAATTGTCTGGATTGGAAGGTTGTGTGCAACTCCTGCAGGGTCAAATGCATTGTTTTCTCCTATCGCCTACAAAATATTTTTGTAATTATTATTTGCATACTTTCTTTAAAATAACACTAACAAGTTTATTTTGTTATTATTTGTCGTGGATAAATAAATGAGGAAATATAGTGTGAAAGTTTACTTTAAGAAAAATTATCACACTGGGTTATTAAAAAGTGTTGACTATTACTTTTAACTAAATGCTGTCAATTATACTGATTTCTTAATCTAATAGATCTTTTGTAAACTGTTTCGCAAAGTGTCAGAAAGGTTCAGGTGAGCAAAATGTTTAGAAAAGATCTGCAATGCAGACCACATTTCATAATGAAGATAGAATTGCACTAAGTATTGTTAGTCATAATGTGCAAATTTTGAGCGTGAAAGCACTTAAGAATCGTGTTCAAAGAAATTTAAGCGTATAATCTCAGATTGAAAGATTTCGAGACAAGTCAATCTTTTTGTATTTATGTGATTGCGGTCATGTATACAAAAATGGTTAAAGTAATTTGTTTTATAAAGACAAAAGGCAATTGTGCATAGATTTCTTGACAAATGTGTATTCATACATAATATTGCTACTTACAATAAAAGCGTACTCACATTTAAAGTTAATTTGTATGGCTTAATTTAATAATGAAATAAATGAAAAGCTTAGGTGAAATACCAAAATTACACCTCATTAATGGCATATTATGAAGTATTGGTCTTATAAACTTTTAGTTTTTAATTTGTTTCTGCAGTTGCATACAAGAAAGATTTTGCTTCAGTGATGTACAGTTGAGAGGGGTAAAGTTCCCAGATCACATACCAAGTGGATGAACTCAAAAAGATCAGTGAGAGCAGATCACTTTTTAAATTAGGTTAAGATTCCCTTGACATTTTCTATTTTTTATTGTTTGAGGGTGACATAGGTTTTTAAAATTTGCAATGCATTTAGATGTGACATTTTCCAATGCTGGGGTGACAGTGGGACTGGCAGGCAGGGAAGGTAAGAGTGGGACAGAAAAGGGCAAACTGACTAAATAGAGATGGCTTGGGTGGTTCTTGCTCCGGAACTTCTTAAGAAGAGAAAGTTATGTAATGCTGCGTGATAAATGGAGAATTTTTCTACAGAAAAACTTTTATTACAGGGCCCTGGTAATGAAAATGTGAATAAATTCAGATGCTAAATTTAGAAAAAAAAACTCTTACATGATGTGTTGCCAGAATCCCTGTTTTGTGGGTCCTTGTTACCGAAAAATCAATTGACTGCAAAACCCGTCGGTCTGTGCACAACGCTTGCGCATAAACCATTGAACCGATTTTCTCCAAAATTGATGTTCCCCAATCGATCTGGCTCATGTTGCGGCTCCTTGAACTTTAAACCTGTATTTTAATTTTTGGGGGTACTTTACATGAAGCCCCTGGGATGTTTTCAAAATTATGAAAAGAATGGCGCCATAGATTTTGATTTAATTTTGTTGTTGGATAGTCTGAAGGACTTTTGATAGAATGGCACAGGTCTTTTGTTGATTGAAAACTGATTTTTCAAAAATTTCAAATTTTGAAATTTTTTTCAGCACCTTCCTACAACTGCAATTATGAAGATACAATTTTTTTTGTAATGAAATGTGTTCATGAAAAAAAGATTTTCATGTAAGGTCATATTGAATTTTTCGAAACTATGAGTAGTTTTGGAGTAATTGGTGTCAAAGTCAGTCGCCCACTCTGAAAATCCTGCACTTGATGATCATAATTATTTTAGAGGCGTTTTGAGTATGTTGGGTACGACGAAAGTTAGAATGTGCATATTATTTCATATTTCTTTGTTTGTTTCTTATATTATAGATTTTATTATACGCTTTTACAAACTTTTAGAAATTATTTATTACCTATTTGAAATAAATATGAACTAAAGGTTGCTAGCCTTCACCCCCTCCCAATTTATGCAGTTGGATGCTTTGTAAATTAGAATTTGTAGATTATTTCTTTTTTCATTTTATGATTATTTATTATATATTCTTGTTATTTTGTTTTAAATTGTGTTATATGAGAAAATGAATAGATGAGCGATCATTGTTGGTTGTTACCCAATGTCGTAACCCCACGCAGATACCACGATAATGACGGTTCCTTTCTGTTCGCTGAAATACAAACGAATACTTTTATATCTTTGAATAATATTACAATACCATAGTGTTTAATAATTACTATTATATATTTTTCGATCTGTTTGCCAATGTATCGTATTCTATATTTACTTTTAAATAATTTCCTTCCTTGCATTCTGCTTATTTTTCGCAACTTATTTTCTACGATTTCAAATGAGTTTAACAAAAAATAATTCGGAGAGAAATTGTGATGTAAATAGTATTACATAACAATTACAAATTGCGAGTACGTACGTGCTGTTTTAACATCAATAGTTTTAGTGGCCGGTGACATTAGGTCATTGTTACACCTCTTGACATGAAATGTATCTCTTTGACAGTGGTAAGAACGTTTCTGAGGCCAGGAACCCCGTTGAGAACGACGTTGGCGAACTAATTAAAAATATAAAACTATCGTTTCTGCTTCCCCATTTAACTACATCAACGTGATTGTAGGACACTTCCGACTATAATTACTGTCTTTCTCTTGATCTCCATAATTTATTAGTTGATATGAATTGATGAAGACCTCATCAATCGTTTTGCATACATTCGTATTGGGGTCATCCTTCAAAATGGACCCCTGCCATTTAAAGCTTGACCGCTGCTTATTTCGCTGGTACTTGGGTTTGATTCATAATCTATCGATCCTTCTCCCTTGATACCGCGCGATTTGCTTGCCTTTTCGTCCTTCCCTCGATCTCTCACTTCTTGCTGCCTTCCTGAATTTCCGCGATCTTCCTTAGTTTTCTGGTCTGTCAGACTCTTCATCTTAGTCTTTTACCTTACATATGTTCGCAGGCTCCCTGCACGTTCATGGCGTTAACATTTATTTCTCCCTTATTTTTCGGAGCCGTGGAGAACTTCGTAACACGTTCTGGAATTTCGCTAGGTCTATATGACTCGCGCTTCTTGACAAATTTTGAATTGTGGTTGGGAATTACCAACTCAATATACAAATTATTTCGTGGCCGTACATCGGTTATAGTGATTCATGATAAAGATAAGATAAATTTATTTGAACTGCAAATGGGCATAACCCGTTGTCAGCTAATTGCATAAATAAAATACTACAGCTAACATGCAAATTATATAATAATATTATTATGTAATATAATATAATATAATAATAATGAAAATGAAAATAACATTGATACTGATAATAATTAATACTGATATAAAACTAATTCATAAAAAATTTAAAATTACCTTAAAAAAAAAAGAAACATAATCAAACTCGGCACTGAATCTTTGTTCAACTGCACTTCACTACACTTCACTTCACTACACTACACTTTTCACTATGACCCTTTAATCATTTCTTTCATTATTTCTCTGTTCTACATTTAACGTCACCTCACTTCACAATATATAACTGAGGCATCGCTCTATAACCTACTATTGTTAGCTAATTCCCTCATTTATATAGTAATGCCCTAAATTAACTTCTTAAATTGTTGTACGCTACGAGGAAAGGGTTCAATGGTTTTTGCAGGCAATGTATTCCATTATTTTATTGTTCGATTTGTAAATTAAAATTTCCCCACGTCTGTTATCTGCGGTCTTAAATTTATTTTGTGCCTTTATGATGCGCCTTTTTGCATAATCTTGCGTCCCGCCTCCGTTCGATGGTGTGTGGAAGCTATTCGTCGGACTCATCTTGAAATTCAATTTGATATCCTCGCTCCAACATAGCTCGAAAAATTTTTGCGCCCTAACCGAGGACAAAGTTTAATAAAAAAATGTCAAGACATTCTTGAGAAAAATTGTAAAATGTTAATGCTTCATACGCATGAACTACATCGGGAAATTATAATATCCGTTACAAACTCAGTGGACTTCATGTTTATTTACATCGATTGGGGAATATCAATTTTAGAGAAAATCGGCTGAAAGGTTTAGGCGCTAGTGTTGACCTCACACGGACAGGACAGACGGATGGACGGACAGATACACGTTTTGATATCGATCGATTTTTCGGTACCAAGGTTCCACAAAACATGGATTCTGATTATCCAGTGTGTTAGGGGAAGTAATTTACTATGTACACGAACAAGATTTGTCCACTTTTTCGTTACTAAGGCTCGGCAATAAGATTTGTTTTGCCGAAAATTCACCAATTTTTTGGCGCGCGATTACAATACTTTCTCTTCTTACGAAGTATTGTAAGAATAATTACATCAAATGATTCCTTTGCTTGTCTTGACCATGCATTGTTTTCAGTCTTCCTTTTCTTTGCTTCTGAAGATTGTGATAGACGTTCCTGTGCAAAGATTGTTTCATTGTCATTTCTATTTTTTTTCTTTTTTTTTTGTTTAAAGCTGAAAATAATTTTTGAGGAGACGAAGAGATCTCTTGTTCTTCTAACTCATGATTTAGCTTTCTGGGGTCACACTTTTTCCTGAGGCA